CAGATCGACACTTCCATCCAACTTGGTGTCATCTGCAAACTTACTGAGGGTGCACTCAATCCCCTCATCCAGATCATCAGTGAAGATATTGAACAGGACCAGCCCCAACACTGAGCCCTGGGGAACACTGCTCGTGACCGGTCACCAGCTGGATTTGACTCCATTCACCACCACTCTCTGGGCTCAGCCATCCAGCCAGATTTTAACCCAGCACAGAGTGCACTTATCCAACCCATGAGCAGCCATTTTTTTCCAGGAGAATGCTGTGGGAGACAGTGTCAAAGGCCTTACTAACGTCCAAGTAGACAACATCCACAGCTTTCCCCTTATCCTCTAAGCGGGTCACCTTGTCATAGGAGACCACGTTAGTGAAGCAGGACCTCCCTTTCATAAACCCATGCTGGCTGAGCCTGATGAGAGCTTCTCGGGATGCTTTATGCTCATGTTTTTCAAGAAGAGGCTCTATCCCACCGTATTCAAAGTGAAGAGCCTATAACATCTCTAATGTTAGTTAGTGAAGTTCATTGAAGACCTTCTGTAGGCTCACAGCCTGATATTAACCCCACCAGTGTTTCTTCTGGAAACAAGACGCTTTGACCTGAATAGGTACATTTTGTATTTCCTTTAGACAATTGGAGTCTCTGCCAAAATGCAAGGCAGTAGACTGCCTGAATTTCTCCTTAAAATTATTTGCTTGTTCATGTGATGACTGAAAACTTCACATTTGTGATCAGGCTGTGAATCTGTTTGGCCTGTGCTCTGTGCGCTTGGACAGTTTTCATGTCCCTGGGAGGAGGACTTGGAAAGGCAAGTGGTGGGGAATCCAGCCTGTGCCGTCTTTCAGGCAGTCTCAGAGAAGGTGTAAATAGGTGAAGTGTTCCCCACAGCTCCCTCTGGGTGTTATTTGTTGGTATGGGAAAGCCGCCTCGCAGTTTGGCCAGGTGAGCGCTCTGAACGCGGGATTTGTTCTGAAAGCAATAAAATGAGAGTCTGTCTGGACGCTGCTTTCAGTTGATGCACGTGTTTGCCTCCCAGAAAACGTGCCAAAGACTGGAAACAGATCCTGAAGCGTCAGGACTGAGTTGGTAGAGGATCTGTGGGTCAGTTTTCATTTTGTTCTCCTAGGTAGGGTTGTCAGTGTATTATTCTTATGCATGTAGATAGATAAATGTGTGAAGGGAACGTCCACAGGGAGGGAGCAGGAGCACAGAGTGTGATTTGGGATGCAATGAAATGAGTAATGAGGTCTGTAAACTCTTGAGTCTGCTCGCAGTGACATTTAATAAACCCAAAGTGGGGAGGAGCAGGCTGCTGGGGAAGCATTTATTTTAAATTCTCCTTTATGAAATCTAAATGTTTTGGACGTGTATTGGCCTGTGTTTACTGTACGTGTACTTTAAAACCAGGTATGCTTCTTATAACTGGACCACTGAAGTTTGAGGACATGGAAGTGTGTAATGAGGGAAGGATTACTGGGGAGCTCTCGCTGGGCAAGTGAAATGGAGCAGTTTCACCATGGCTTTGGTGGTTTTCTGCATGCAGTGTAACGTATTTTGTTGTCTCTCTGGTAGGAATCTGCTGAAGGTGATTTTCTGAAGTACCCATCTACCAGTTTGCCAGACTTGCTTAGCACTTGCTCAGTCCAAGACTCTGTCTCTTGCACTGACAATAAGGAAAATGAAGAGCCAGAAGAAGAAGATGTGAAGGGAGTGAATGTGTCTCCTGAAACACTGGTTGCTGTAAGTGTGGCTTTGGTGTGACGTTTTTACTCTCTCCCTTGACGCCCGTTTGCATCTGTCACGTTCTCCTGCAGCCCAACACGGAGCAGGTCCTCGGGACAGGATGATCCCACCCAGCCTCCCTTTGCATGGGAGATGGGTGACAAGCTGAAATGGGGATGTCATCTACCACAGCATCTGCCATCTCTGCTACTGCGCTGCAGCAAAGCAGCAGCACGGGGAGCAGGAGCTCTCGTGTCCTCCAAGCTATGTGGCAATCATGGTTTTGTTTTTCTCTCTGCCGTTGGATTGTTTTCCACCCACTTCCACTGCTTTTGTTGGATCTGATGCGAAGTCTCTCACAAGTGCTTATGCAGTAACATGCTCTTCTTTCCCCTCCTTTCGTAACTAAACTTCTTTAACAGTTTGTTATCCAAGTCTCTAAGTTTTTATTTGCTCTGTTGAAGCCAACAGACAATTTTGGAGGGAGGGATATGAATTTCTGGCTGTGAACTGTAACTGAAGTTCTGCTGAATAAATGCTGCTGGTTGATAATCTTGCTTGCATTCCCTTCAGGGCTGCATTAAGCAGAGATTAAGTGGATTATTGGTATTTATTTGTAATGTAGCAGCTCTCTGAAACTTCATCAGTGTCCTGGGCCTCTGTTGTATTGTACAGACAAAGAATAAAATTATGTTTGCTACTCTAAAGAACTTGCAGGCTGGTCTTCCAGCAAGAGAAAGCAGGTAGATTCACTTGAAGCTTTTATCTTTTTTTAATTCTCTCTTCTTGTCTTTTTTCCCCCTTTTCTGCGGCAATTATAATAAATCTCTTAAACCTTTGGATGGCTCAGATGTGATACTGGTTTGGTGATTTGTTTTGATTTTGTATTCTTATGCTTTCCTTTTTCTGAGCAAAAGACCACTCCCCAGGACGAGTCTCATGCTGTAGTCTAGCTGATGCTGGTGTCCGCTTCGTACCTGCCTGTTATCTCTGACTTTCTTTGAGTCTATGCTTATAACAGTCCTCACTCTCACAGTTCTCTTTACCGTGACAAGTTTTGTTATTTCTGCACTGTCTTCTCTTCTATGTGCCAGGGTGCCTTTTTGCGGGGAGGAAGGGAATAACAAATAAATCATGGATGCTTAGCACACTAATGACGGTGTAGTGTTTGTGTGCTAACTTGAGTGGGCACCTAAGCATTCTTTTGGCTATCAAAATACTTTAAATTCTTCTATATCTCATGTTTGAAATTCTGGTCATTTTTCATAAGGCTGTGGCTCAGCAGCGCTTAAATATAAAAATCAATTTTGTGGAAACTTAATTATGTGTGGCTTCAGGATGCAGCTCCACAGTGTTCCAGTGATTCTTTCAGCACACGCTAGGAGTTATTTGTCACTTGGTTTGCTCCTGACTTTCCAGCAAGGCTCTGCCTAGTTTTCAGTAATGGCTTTTTTTATCAGGTGTTTCCTTTCCAGATTAACATAATGCTAGGGGAGGCTTGAGGTAGCCAAGGTGCATGCCACCATGAAGACTCAGCTGCACAAGCTTGCCCAGAGCCCTTCAGCCTGGACCTGAGTTTGGAGCATGCCCCAATGTCCGTCCCAGTGCTGCTGCAGCTGACAGTGGTGGTAGCCTAATTCAGGGCCAGTTTGATTTGCCTGCCTATCTGGCACTGTCACTCCTGATGGCAATAGCTCTGTGCTTTTGTAATGCATCGCTGGGGGATGGAGGGGAAATCGCAGAAATCAGAGTACAATAAACACATTAGAAGAATAGCAGCAAGACATTTTTTTTTCCTTCTTTTCTCTGTTTCTATTATTTGTTGTTGTTGTTGTTGGAGGAGATGTAGTTCAGAGGCATGTAATAAGTTGTTGGTGACTCTCAGGACCTCTTCTGTTTTTGCTTGAGGTGCACATGAAATCCTTCCTCTTCTAATCCAAAGCACAGGATGTCTTTGCCTTCCCCTTGTAATTGCTGTCTCAGCCTCGGGAGTGCAGATGGGGCTCTCTGCAGCCCAGGCTGGGCAGTCTGTACAGTGTAGACCCCTTGGCTCTACCCGCAGCCTGATCCATCCTCATCAGATTAGGGCAACCTGAGCTGAGCTGGGCTGTGCAAACCCTGCCTGCCACCAGGCAGGACGTAGGAAGGTAAATGTATGGAAAAGACAAATTTCACACGTGGCTTTTTTCCACCTGGCAACTTGAGGGGGATTTTTCATAGCAAAGCTTAGCAGCTAATTTCAAGGTCAGTATGAACATGAAGCATCACATGATTTTGGTTTTTTTTAAATATGTATGTATGTGTAGTCATACAGATTATTGCAAAATTACTTCGAAAATTACTGTTCTTTGCTGCTCCCACTCTCTTGATGATAACTCAGATGTCTTCTCTTTCTCTCATATATATTCCATTATATCTGTAGATAAGGGATGGCAGTGTAAATGATGATTAAAGCAGGAACTAAGCTGGACCATTTTTACTCAGTGCAAATATAATTGTTTTAGACTTCCAGGGTGGGTGGTACTCAAGGTCTGGACCAGATAACTGAGACTGCGGGCTCAGTTTAAGCATCAAACCTCTTAGATTTGAAACTGATTCTCAACCCAGCTCTGGCCAGGAGATACCTTTCTCACCACCAGTTTCTCACCTCTGACAAGGTGAGAAATTTTCTTGTTTACTGTGCAGGGCTTTGTAGAGACTTAAAGGGATGCTGTCAGGTGCTGGGATGCTGTCAGGTGCTGTGTGGTTAGGTAACAACAAGTAATTCAGAATGATTTATCGTTAGCTGAGGCTTCACTGTCCCTTTTCTGACCAGCACAGTGTATATCTAATTCTTGAGCAAGCGTAGAAGATACTACAAAACTTGCAGGAGCTCTTAGGGTTGTCTCAGGTCTTCTTTCATTAACCTCACTGTGAATATAGTTCAGTGCTGAGTATTCAGAACCATAATTTATAGACCTGATGGACTTGCTGTTAATGCCTTAGCACCTGATTGCTTAAAGGCTGAACCTTGGAACTAAGGTATATATTGAAATCTTCATCGTTGTAATTATTTAGAACTCAGCTGGACCAGGCCCTGAGGAACCTGATCTAAGTTGTTTCTGCTTTGAGGTGGGGGCTGGACCAGGGACCCCCAAAGGTCCCTTCCAATCTGGCTTACTCTACGGTTCTGTGAAAAATAAAAAAAAAAAAAAAAAAAAAAAAAACTCTTTTTTCAACACAATTTGAGCTAATCAGCTTCCCCAGGACACAGCAGAAGCGTTTAGTGACACTTGAAAACGGTAATTTAAGAGAAATATCACTTGTAAGTATTATTTGAAAGTCCACTTGTTGTGTTACATTAATAAAAATTTCATAATACAATTTAATTGGAGCTCTGTTTTTACACAGTCTCCTTATGTAAACCCCTGTTTAACGTGAAACATCCCTCAAAGTTCTAACTTTAATAAAACTTGTGCCGCCAGGCAGAAAAAGGATTACATTAATATCCTTAAAGTGTATTTCTTTTAAAGCTAGTTTGGCCAAAATGTTCCTTAACTTCAGATACGAAATACTGGACCAAGGAGTCATGTTGTGTTAAATTGGCCTGAGGCACTTCGGGGATTTTAAACTCCCCCTCCCTGCCCCAAATCCATATTTTGCCTTGTGCAGTTGACATCGCTGTTTTAAAATGTCGTTATTTATGTCCAAGTGAAATAGGATGATATGATAGTATTTGCCTTTGACAATTTATTTTTAATTCTAATTCACTTTCCCCAGTATTTCTGTGGCTTTAAATTGAATCTGTCACTGTATTGCTGGCTGGCGGAGCAACCTGGGAAATGAACTCTGAAGAGAAAGCAGGTCTGCCAAGAATTTGCAAAGTGTCTGATTATTTTGGGGCATTTGGGGTCCCCAGACAAAGGCATGTACCATTCTTAGTTGCCTCAAAGTTTTTTGCCTTTGTTTCTGCTGGTGCTATGTTGTTCAATATGTGATGATCCGAGTACTTTATTTTTGAAGTGTTCAACTTCAGTGACCAGCTTTGTATTAATGGGCTGAAATTCAAGTTACTAAATGCAAGAAAAGGGTGTCTGCCTCAGCAGGTTTGGATCTGCAGTTGCTGGTGGCAGGGAGGAAAGCCTGGGGTCGTTCCTCTATACTTCGCTTAATCTTGTGCGCTCCCTTGGGTATGGGCTGCTTGTGATGCTGGAGGCAGGACCCTGAGACAAGTCTATTCCATGCAGAATAGAATTATACAAAAGAGGAATTTCTTCTTTGGGAAGGGAGGTCATCGCTATCCCTACCTGTTGGGGAGAAGCTGGGCAGGGAGGCAATTTGCCTCCCTGTGCCCAAGCCAGCCACGGAGGTGAGTCCCGGGGAGACAACCTCTGGTAGCATCGCCAGCTGCGTAATCCTCTGCTGTGGGACGGCGAAACCCTTTTGCTCATGTTTAATCGTTTCGTGTTGACCTGAAGTGCTTGATGCGTACCTTCATGCGAGCTGTGGGAGCGTTGCATGTGGAGATGGCCGTGATGTGCCAAGGTCTTGGTCCTCCTACAAGTAGCAGAAACAGGATGTCTCCGGTTAAAGGTTTCTTGCATGAGCTGGGTTTCTTTATCCCTGCCAAAACCTACTTGTGTTTTTTGCAAGGCATGCAGCTGAAAGTCGATAAATAAACCTGTTCTGTGAATATGCAGAAATGCATTTGTTTATCCACCCTCCCTCCCCATTTCTATATTTTATCCGAGCCGTAGGACTGCTTAGTTATTTTCTGTTGTGAGCCTTTCTGTCTTACCAGGGAATCCATGTGTAGTTACCTGTAGCCATGCAAGCATAATAAGGAAGAGGATAACAATGCCATAAGTTTAAAAACACTCTTGGGGTCAAAAGTTCTTCTGGAAACACTGGGAGAGATTTTCAGAGAAAGCATTAGCATGGAGAAGGAACAGGAAGCATAACTCAACAATTAAATGTGTGCAGAGCGCGGGGAGGGACCCTCATTACTTGGAGGACTTGAGCGTTCATTCCCATTAGGG